GAAACAAAAATAGCCAGGTTCCGTTTTCAAAAGACGCACTCCAATAATTATTCTACACAAGCAGCCATACCACCCCGAAACCATCATGGCGTCTGCCAGAAGTCTCAATGCAGGGCTGGTTACTAGCGAAGTACCGAACCTTCGAACAAACTATTTAGGCAGGGGCAGAGGCAGAGGAAGTCGTGGCAAGAATTCCAACATTTCATCGGCTCCATCTGGCCTGGCAAAAGAAGGTGACAAGCAGCAAAATGACAACATTTCACCCGCTGAAGTTGAAGCTGCAGCTGAGGGAGTAAATTACTCTGCATTAAAAGCGGTAGGGCCTATTGCCGCCATTGTCATGATTTGTGTAACCGTGGAATGAAATTGTTCATTTGTAGTATGGTCAGTGTAAACTTCAATAAAAAATAATTATAAAGAGTATTTCGAGATGTCTTAAATCAGGACCTTTTCAACTTTGTTCCCTGTGAACTTGATTGAGCACTGTTGAAGAGAGAAAGCATGGGGAAAATGAAGTTGGAAATTACAAACATGATTGATATGTAAAATCAACATGATACCAGGCTTTTATGTTTGTTTTAACACTGTTTTGGGAATGAGTTCCATGTTTGGACAACACTAATTTTCCCTTAAACATGTTAAAATGTTGTAACAGCCAGAAAGTGATAACATGTCATAAAAGTGAAATTTAGTTATGAAAATTCTAAAGTATTTCTTAGAAGACACTTCCTTTTTTTCAGACAAGTCTCATAGGTTTATTTACAGGGGCACCAAGTGTTGTTCGTGTATGAGCTCTTTCCCTGTTTGTAAACTAGGTAATAGCATTGCAGGGTCATAATCAATAAAGCTTGTTTGTATGCTTTTCTCACAAGTCACAGTCCAACACATTTTGGCAGCAAAATCATCAAGTAATTGTTTGGCTGGAAAGAATTGTATACGGACGCCACTAGACACCATGTGAACAAACCACATGAGACTGGTCTGAAAAGTTGCAAGTGTTTTCTAAGTATGTGTAGATGCATCAACATTTTCACTGCTAAATTTGACTTTTATGATATTTTATTGCTTTCACATAGCCCAGGTTGGATGACGTCTTCATGACATACGACTAACGTTATGTAAAGAAGACGTTATCCAACTTTGATTATCTTTCAGATAGCTTATAAGTCACTATAAGGGAAAAATAGGGGTGTCCAAAAATGAAATTCTTTGGCTATGGTCTTTAATGATTGTCTCTGATAGGAGGACAAGGTACTTTATCTTCTGAAAAAGATGTGCTCTCAACATCCAAATCAAAGAATAATTGAACTGTCAGCAGAGGATGAAAGTGCAATCTTGGAAAAAGTGCTTGAAAGTATTTCCACAGGCCAGGAGTTATGCAGTCTGGTTTCAGGTCTCTACGATTGGACCCTGCAAAATCCAGCTACAACATCCTGCGTGGCGAGTCTCAGTGCTCAGCTTTCCAAGTATGACAAATTAATTTCTGTATGTTTTCCTGTTTGTATATATGTGTGGTGGAATATCTGGAGCTTGGAGGTTGTGGGTTTGAATGTCACTCAAGTAAAGCTTGTAAATTTCATCTATCTAGCTCAATGTGGTATTCGAGTTTATCACAAGTCCCTGTAAGTCCATCACAAGTCATTCAGTCTTAAGCCAATTCACAGGCTATTCAAATGAGCTGTGACAAAAGCATTCTTTTGTTATTGTTCACCCTATTATTTATGACTGGCCTTTTGAAGAGACTTATGACTGGACTTGTGAAAGGACTTGTGAAGGGACTTGTGATGGACTCGAATACAACACTGATCTAGCTGTTGACAGACCAAAACGTATAAGTTAAATAACTGATAGATAAAGCTCAGCATAAAAGCTTGTAGTGCCCTGGCAAGTTCTAATTCCTTCTGAAAGGATTATCCAACATTTCTAAAGCAGGAAGTGATACATGTATTTCAGTTTAAGTCAAAAAGGATTGACTGAAACAGGATTTGAACCTACAACCTCCATGATACTGTCAAGTTGCTCTACCTACTGAGCTGTATATTCCCGTATTAGTGATATTTCAGTCTTGAGGATGCATAACTATTATATGATGGTAATCTTCTATCAAGGCTGAATTTGTATTCAATTAAGTTACTGTCCTTTTTTGTTTGTTTCTTATTTTGAAAAAATAATCAAGATTTGAGAAGGGTGGTGTTTCTTTCCGCTCCGCCTTGATGAATCCCCTGGAGGCTGACTTCCAGTCTAGAGATGAGTGGAATAAAGACCAGCCAATAAGATGGCTTTCCTATGTCTGTTTGATGTGTGACCTGTATGCCATGATGAAAACAGCAGCTGATGGGTACTTGAATGCCCTGGTTGAGCCAGTGTATTCATGTTTAGATCAGGTATATTCCAATTCATTTTTTTTTTGTTGGGGAAGTGGTTATTGCAGCACTTTGTAGTGGAACTGTCTGGCTCTTTACATGTAGGTTATGATTTCTTCTCTCTTGAATTTTCAAATCACACTTTGATCCTGTGTGTTCTCCAAGTGCTTCAAATTTGCTTGTGGGGATTGAACGGTCATTTGAAGATGGAGGGCCAAGAGATATTGGTATTTGCCACACGGACATGGAAATAATACACGTAATAAGAGTGTACTGTACGTTAAACGAATGCACTGTTCTCTCAGGTTTTCTAGTGCAATATGTACCATCTTCACCCTCAGTGTCCAGATGATGTCTTCTTGTAGTGCACTAAATCTAGTGATTTGATTGCATTTTTAAAATCCCAGCTGCTTACAGATAACAAGGCTTCAGACATTCAGATTGGATATGCCACCCTGAAGGTAGGTTGCATTGACATCAAGCTTTGCAAATTCATGAATATGTAGATGTTGGAGAGCAGATATTGCAGAGATTGAATGGAAAAAAGTGCAGTAGTGTAAAATTTGAAAACTGAAATTTATAAACGTTCTTCCTGTTTGAAACTCAAGTTGTTTATAGTTACAATGCTTCATTTTTTTTAAAGTTTGTTTTAATAATTTTATCCTCCAGCTGAAGCAACTTGGCAAGATCTTGCAGACCAAAGAGCCCTCTAAGATGGAACTTTTAATGGAGGGATTGAGATCAAGATTTCTTGGGTCGGGTACCAGTGCCACTGGTCGCTTGCTGCTGTTGGAGACCATAGAGTTGTACGCAAGCGGTTGGCAATTTGACGAAGAGACGACAACGGCATATGTAGAGCTAAGACAGATGAGTCAGGAGAAAGCGTGAGGCAGGGGAGGGAGACGTCATCTTTGATTGGCACTGGACTTCAGACTTGGCAATAAATGCTGCGTGTGCAGAAGATGCTTGTGAGGGATTGTAATTGATGAACTTTTATTGTAAAGAATCACCTGATGAAGTCACTTCGTTGAGGATGTGTGAGCTTTGAGGAGGAGCAAGAGGTGACTGGACGTGTCACTGGGGTCTTGATTGACAGTCAAGGAACCAGATTTTAAGTTCACCTGCAACATCCATCAAGGAGGCCATGACCAACCTGTCATGTAGCTACTCAGTAGAAAATAAAGCTTAGTGAATGTATGTGCTAAGAATGAATCCGGCTACTTGCAAGAAAAATGCTTGACAATCATGAAATTCAACCCTGATGTCAGTTCAAGTAATTCTGTATATAGACTGAGTATGGAGATTTCTTAAGAACCTGTGAAGCAGCAGACATGATAATGCATAGCCAGTTTTCATGCATGTGCAAAACTTCAAGCCGCCCGATAATCAGTTGTCAATCCCTCAACAAAAGCTGCATCTACATTGTACTGCGACAACAGGTGTTGGACAGACTGATTAGGGGTTTCAGTTGTCTTGAATGCATATTTATTGTTTTGTACATTTGAAAATGTGGTCGTGAAAGTAAAGCCAAAACAGCAAAAGTATTTGACATGGTTTTGGCAAATTATTTAATGTGAAATGTTTTGATTGTTGGTGTACTGAAATCTATGCAAATTATCAGATTTCAGAACAAAAATTACATTTGAAATGGTGAGTTTTCCCCATGCTCAATGTTTGATAAGCAATATTACTGTTAACTTGGGACCAGAGAACATGAAGATGTGAGAGGACATAAATATGTGAGAGGACATGAAGATGTGAGAGGACATGAAGATGTGAGAGGACACGAATATGGAGAGGACAAGATGTGAGAGGGCATGAGATTGTGAGAGGACATGAAGATGTGAGAGGACATGAAGATGTGAGAGGACATAAATATGTGAGAGGACATGAAGATGTGAGAGGACACGAATATGGAGAGGACAAGATGTGAGAGGGCATGAGATTGTGAGAGGACATGAAGATGTGAGAGAAACGAGTGCTGCTGGTGTTGTAAGAAGTAGAAATGTTCAACATGACTTCACCTTAATTCTGCAAGGTAAATATTTCCTATTTGCCTAGGTTTTCTTTTTAACTTCCTGTACAGTCGGCATTTTATAACTAAATTCGAGAGAGCACATCATATACATAAGCAGGGCACATGTGCATATCTGTTTATTTCAAGTGTTTCTTCTAGGTGTTTTCCCAATTAAAGTGATAGGTTTTCAAGTTATTGGATACATTGCTCACCTGGGGAATGGGTTTTAATTCCTTTTACAAACAGTATGTGGTTAGCCTTCTTTGATAGTCTTCCATTTGTTTGGGTTCACATCTTGGTTGAGTAACAAAGGGTTGCCAATGTACGTTGTAACTTACAAACCAGTGAGACAATTTGTCACTTGCATAATAACATTTAGAATACTTAAATAAGGGACTTGGTCAAATGCATCAAAAAGACTGTGATATTCAAGAGTATTTGTAGCCATTGAGTAAAATGTTTTGCCTTTGAGAAAGATTCTGTTAGGCTCTCCACCTGCAAAATATTTTTTTTGCCGTGAATTTCAATGAATGCATTTGAACTGTGAGGAGAAAATTATTTCATTGTTGCACTGTTCTCAAAGTTGTGACTTTTTGGTTTTTTCTAATGGATTTGCTTGTAAGTATAAATTGCATATTTGAATACAAATCCTAAGTAAGTGCACTTCCAACAAAGTGATAGGTCTTACAATTACAACACGGCTTATGATTTCTTTTGTAGTTTGAAAATCATAAGTTTTCAAGGTGATTGCTCTTTGTTACCTATAAGTCTGTGTATTTTAAAAATACGGATTTTAGCTTTGCCAAATACCACCCCACTGGCTGAAACCAATTTGTATACAGCACATTGAATCATACACAGTGTAAGTACACGTCTTGAATAAAATAAATTATTTAAAAGCAAATTCAGCAAGTCTTTCTCTCGTCTAAACTCATTAAGTGTACCTGTGGGACCTTTTACAAAGATGTTACTTTTTCCTCTAAAGTTGAGGAATATGAGGCAAGCTAACCTCTAACATTACTTGGGCCGTCAAATTTCAAATAAAAGAACAATGGCTGCATTTTACTCTCCTGAATTCACCATGTGTTGTTGAACATGATGCTGCATTTTGGCAGGTGTGAGACGTTACAAGTTACCTTTTGAACAGAACACGTAATTTTCCTCCAAAGATTCGACATTCATATGCTTGTTAGCAACACAGCCAAGTTGCCTGAAATGCACTACAAGCAAACCAAGCTTTTACAACTAGGCCATCAACAGTTTGTTCAAACATACTCCAAGCACAGGTCACCTGTGAAAACCTCAAAGCGCTTCCAAATCTTTTTTAACAGGACATGTTTTAAGAGGAAAAAGGAGATGTGATGGCATGTTTCATGTTCTTATTCCTCCATGGTTTCATGAACTGACAGACTTCCAGTTTGGTGGTACGTCCCCTTTTGGGGCTGATAATTTGACTCACTTTTTTGCTCAAATTATAAGCATTTATATGTCGAAGTTATCCATTTATTGTTTGTTTGTTTCAATCATGGAAAACACAGATTTTTTCATAACATTAATATTGCACAGCGGAAACAAGGTGTGTAAAATTTCCCTTTAAAATGCACAGCAACATTATCAGGATTATCAGACTTGCGAAAAGTTGAAACACAAAAGAAAACATTGTCATTGCTGAAACAAACCTCTATTTGTTATTCCACTGCTTTGGAAAGGGTGTAACTGCACAACATTGCAAGGATTTAAACTTTCAACACTTCTTACACTTTCAAAGAAGTTCAAACAAACATATGACTCTTAAAAAGTCCCCATGACTCAAGTCAAAGATTTATCTCGGCCTATACATTTCCATGTGAAGATTATCAAAACTATTAAAGGTCCTTAAGAATTCCCAAAAATGTAATCCCCAAGACAACTGGTTAAAATACTATGAATACTAATGTACTTTTACTCTTGTTGATACAGTTTATAAAAATACTTAACATTTGTCTATTCATTTTAAATATTTAGCATTTTTGTTCACCTCACCCTGCTTAAGAAACATCTTGGCAGTTTGGAACTCATTTACATTTTCATTCCTCAAAATATACAAATAATTGCCAATAAACCACACAGAATTTGACGTCAACTGAATACGCAGACTAGGTGATGGGGTGGCGGTGATGATGGTAGCATGACAATGGCAGCGAGGGATAAGACAGGGCTACATGATTCCTGAGACCTAACCCCATCAAGAAGACCTCTGTAGCCTGCACCAACACTGGTTCCATCATTGCATCGTATTACCACTTTTAACGGTGGCTGAGAAGCGTGGGCGGCTCTTCAATTTCCCCGCCTTGCTCTGTTTTTCTTTTGCCTTCAACGTAGGAGATCTGTCACAAGAAATAAACACGCAGGTAGGCAAGGCAGTCGTCTGTAGCATCTGATTTTTCTTGCTTGTATTTCATGTAAATGAAGATTACAAAATCAACTCAAGGAATGGGGTAGTGACATTTCTGCCATGGCAAAATAGAAAACTTAAATTTATCTTTCTTCAACTGTACATCAGTTTGCAAATTCAGCTTGAAATCTTAACTATCTCATAAGCCTTTTGAGCCTTTAAAACTGACAACAACACCAACTGTACTTACTGCAGAAGCATATCAATAGTTTGCTGAGTGGCTTTGGATTTCTTGTGGCTCGGACCATACAAACTGCTTTGAATACTGTAACACTGTGACCAAAAAAAAAAGAGAAAAAAGTAAAGCAGGTGTAAAAAAAATCAGTCAAATTATGTTGCCGAAGTAAGTTGGAAGGCAAACATTAATGCACTATTAGCCCAAGAAGAAAGATAAAACTTACAACCAACAAATAGAGTTCGGAAGGGTCATTCTACAAATTTGGGGTCCAGAAGTCCGATATTTTTGTGTCCCTGTTACACCTGACCTGTGTACTTTTACGTGGAAATATCCATGAAATTGACATCAAACTATTTTGTGTTTGGGAGGTAATTTGCATTACTTTAATAATTGAGAATGAAAGAACTGTTCTAAGCTGACAAAATTATTTCTGAGATGTGGCGGTGCCAGAAGAAAACTTGGATCTCACACTTACAGAATGATCCAGCACTAAGATCAGTGTGACAAGAAATGATTTGATCTTCACTGCAACTGACATGTCTTACCTTCTTGAAGTACTTCATGGCCTTGTCCAGTTGTCCTTGGGACAATAGGATGGAACCGTACAGTCTGTACGTCTCCCCTACCTCCTCACTGAAATCACCAAAGGTGGCACACTTGGAGGAAATTATCGTCTTGAGTAATGAAACTGCTTCCTGGGAAAAAGAAACGAAACAATGTATTTGCTGAGGCACTAACTGTCAGAGAGTCAAGCTCTAGATAAACCTCATTTAAAAGAATTATTCACTTGAAAATTCCATGAGCACAAGTCTTCATTTGTTGCAAGCAGAAGATCAGTTATGCAAATTTTTTAATAGAATAACTTATTGACTTGAAATTTCTGCACAATCCCACACAATCCGAGGGTTTGTAGTTTCCTTATTTTAATTCCACAAAACAATGCAAGGAAAAACATGGAATACGGGAACATAGGCATGCAGTAAAAAAATAAAAGGTCACCATATTTTACAAGATGACTGAAAATCAAATTTTACCATTCATTCAAGTTAACTTATTTCACTTGTTTTCAACTACAACAAAGTTTTTACTAAAATTTACTAACACCCCAGTAAGGCACAGTACCCCCAAATAACCCTTTTTGGGAACATACAATTGAGAACTCAAGGATTTTGAATCTTGATTTCTATTCAACAATGAACTCTGACCTCTTGTCTGTCTGTTCTGATGAGCAGTTTACACAGACACTCTTGTGTTGTGATAGTCTTAGGGTGATGGGGACCGTACAAAACCTGTCTGATACCCAGACTCTCATCCAAGTATCGCTCAGCAGTGGCTGTTGGGACAAGCAGTCAAAGAGACAGAATGTTATCAGTCTTTTTCTATGACAGTTTTTGGACTTCATTCTACTCTAAGCTCTCTGCTTTACACATGCACACAACTACCTTCTATTACTGTAGACACTCGGTGGATTAGTTTTTCCAGATCAAAGCAGTGTCTGTCACATGTCTATATTACTCTCCAAAGGTCCACCATTTTCATTGATAGATTTTTTTCTCAAGCTGGACTTATTCTTTCACAGATGGTACTGTCTTTCTTGTTGTGTTGGAAAAAGTAAGCTGCTCAGTAATTTCTTTAAGCAAAGTATGATGCCAATTCTGTTTAAGGAAAACTAGGGCAGCTTCCAAAGGAGAAAGCTCCAGGGGTTGGCATTACACTCACCAAAACTGACAACCTGACGCATCAAGACAAAACTCAGACCTGTACTTACTTTCTGCTTCAGCGGAGGCTTGTTCGGAGTAGGCCAGAGCTAACTTGTATGCCGTCTCTGCGACTTCCTCACTCTGTCCGCTGTACCTGTGCAATCCATCATGGAAGAGTTCAATGAGGAATTCATGTCAGTGCAGGAGTACACGTCCCCAAGGTCAGTAAAAGTTTCCTGAGCTGCTTATGTAACGAGGAATACATGAAGCAATGTCTTCAGACACGGAGTGCAGAGCATGATTACCAAATTCGTAACATCTCTCACCCATCTGGAGGAAACCTTGTGCATATTGAGCTTCTTAACTTTCACTCCACAGCACCCACAAAAACATTTGAGCCTCTTTGGTGACTTACTTGGCTACAGTGATGGAATGAGCTTGTAGATAATACTCTACTGCTTTATCGTGATTGGCATGTCGCCCCTTGCTCTGTTCCAAGTGAAGACAGTTAAGGAAAAAATTAAGATTTGATGTTCGTTCTTGTACTGCAATTATTGTGACTGTCATTTTTCAAAAACTTGGAGAACTGTCTGGATATGAAGAAACAATCTTTTCAGGCTTTTATTAACCAGCAACACTCCTTTTTATAATTCTGAGTAAGACTCTTGCCTCCAATGTCAGTGTGTGTTTTTTACTTCATTTAAACTAGGTTACTCCTTTAGACCTTAGTCAACTGTCTTTCCAAAGGATATTTTGCCTAAATCCTGGTATATCGGAATCAGCTCCAAGCTGTCTGTGCCATGGTGCTTCTCTGTCAGTCGTACCCCTTTCTCGTAATAACTTGCCCCCAAGGCTTGCTTGTTTTGGTTAGCATACAGCCTAAAAATGAACAGAATCAAGAAAGCAATGAAATCAAGACCAATTACAATTTTCATACACTGATGAGCTAACCATTTCTAAGCCAAATTGGACGGAGAATTGTTGAATAAAATGCTACAATACTGCACCATATCAATGAAGCCCTTTCTATCTTCGTTGCACAATACACAGCAACAAGAACACTAAAAACTACACGTCATTTTAATGAGGCAGTTCTACAGATGGCTGTCATGAACTAGAAAATAACGTACCGAAAAACTTCTTTAGCATTTATGCATTCTGAAATTTGTTTTACTTTGACTTACTTTCCCATTGCTATGGCGATATAGATGGCCATCTGCTCTTGCTCCGAACCCACGGAGCTTGTCAGCTTGGCTCGCTCCTCTGACACCTTCTCTGCTTTGAGTAAGCACTGTTCTGCCTCTGGATATGTGCACGGAACGTTAAGGAAAGCAGCACAGATCACACCAACGGCCATTTTCCTCGTTTCACTGATGAGCACAAGGGGTCTTGTTCTAAAGTGGGCATAGGGGTACAGCCCCCACGCTCCTGAGGCTTCTGTCCCCACCCCCATAACTGTGCCCCTTACAGCTACATGATGTATGCTCCGGCATACATCACGTTTATAAACAGTACAACTAGTATTACTCTGCATTTATGATATGATAGGGATCTATTGAACTACTGAGGTGATTGGAGGGGGTGGCACAGGGAGTAACAGGGGCAGGGCAGATTGGAGAGATGCTGGCAGGGTGGCATGGGGGAGTATATGGACCACGGGATTAATATCTACTGGGTCATTCAAAGGTTGTGGACGACACTTGTTCCTAGGTGGCACTAGATCAGACTTTATGAGACACTGTTAGCCATGTCTAAATTGACTGCATGTGACATGAAGAGTCACATTCTCTTCTGACAAATGACTGCATTCTCTGGCTTATGGCTCTCATAGGCACCTGTACATTTTTTGCCGTATTTTCAGATGTGGCTACAGCTAAGCTGTCGATCCCAGCTCATTCAGTATCTTGATCTATCTCAAGGATATTTGTCCAGCATGGTGTTGCTCCTTCCCAAGACGTAGTACATCTTGACCAGCACTGCTAGGAGGTCCGCCTTGCAGTTGCTGGAGTCAGAGGCATGTAGCCCGCTCAACATGATCTTCTTGGCAGCTTCAGCTTGATACTGGGCCTGAGGGGCTAGACCTGTCAGGAGGAAGACAGGATTAACAATCAAGACACAGTTCCATAGAAGGTAACGACAGGTGGATTAGCAACAAAGAGACAGTTTATAGGTCAGTGGGGAGGGTTCAGGGGCTGAAGGGAATACGGCCTCAAAATCATTTCCATCTAATGTCTCCATGAGGACCAACACCAATACAGCAAAAATAGACTACGTTAACTTTACATTACATTTTGATTAGCTTTCTGCTGCTTGAGTCAAAGGGTCTTTCTTTAAAACTGCTCTGTAATCCTGGAAAGCAGACAGCACATCTGAGGTTTCGGGCTATTTTAAGTGTACCTTTGAGCATGAGGTAAGCATAGGCAAGGTTAGTGTGACTTTCTGCTAGCTTCCAATGGCTATCCCCATAAACCAGACGACAGAGGGCGGTACAACGGATGTATTCTTCCAGAGCAGGATCCACCTATCAAGGCAAAATCAATCAATCAATCAACCAATCAATCTTAAAGATTCTCCTTGACATCAAACTACTTTCGTCTATAACCTTCATCCAGCAAGATGGAATTGTAGGGGGTGGACACTCGGAAAAAAGAGAGGACTTGATAGGGACACATCAGGAGAAAAATGACAGAGAAGTGACACCCAAGACAATAGAGACACTATGTAAGCAGAAGCAGATGTAGATAGGAACGACAGAGGTAGACCACTGAAGAAGACGCTTTCCTCCGACTTTTCATTTAGTGGTTCACAAAGGCCCATTTTCTAAAAAAAAATACAAACCTCTCCGAGCCCAGCATGTTTCCTGGCTTTGGTCTCTGATCTCTTGAGCAGTTCCTCAGGAGGATTCAGGACGATGATGGAGCCGTCCTTCATCTTCAATTTGTGCAGTTTCTTTTTCCGATGTCCCGGGGAGCCCCTTAACCTCTGAGTGGACAACTCTGAACCATCGTCAGATAAGTTATCGTTGCTAACGAAATAAGGGGAAAAAAATTAGTTCAACAATAATTTGATGAACTTTTCTAAGAAAAATCACAATTTTAGTTTGGTGTTGACCAGTTCATAGTTTCTGTAAGGAATAGAGTTATGGTGATCACAAAGGAAACATTTGACTTCAATAACAAAAACTTGACAACTCCATTGCAGGAATACATGTAAAAAAAAAATCAGAAAACTTGTACTTGCTCTTTAGCCAACCAAATCTCAACGAATGTTTTCATGAGGGGCAAAGTCCTTTATATTTCATCAGACAAACTGGAAGTCTCAATTAAATTCTTTAAAGAGGATCTTTTTACACTGTTTGCACATGAGAAGTTTCGGAATCAAACAGCAATATTACTATAAATTGCCCAAGCATACCTTCCGTTTCCTCCTGCTCTTTTCTTCCGTCTTGTTGAGGAACTCTGACTGCCATTCTCTGTTGGAATGTCAACAACTTGGAGTCCAAGACCTTCCATGTTGGGCTTCTCTTCGCCATCTGAGCCCTCCTGGTCTGGATCCGACAACGATAGGTCAGAAAAGGACTCCATCCCAAGATCTGGGGTTGAAATTTAGCCAGAGCAATCTTGTAACTAATCTGTGAGACTTTGTTGCTGCTCTCCATCTAGTCCAAATAACTAGGACTCTATAATTCACCTCTTTTAACTTTGGACAAATGTTAAAGAATTGATTTGTAGAGTTGAGTCCTACATTGTAACGGGTGTGACCGTATAGTTGTCAGGTCCCTTATTTTACCACTTACAGTGAAAACCAATCCGACTTGACAACAGGAGGCAAACTTCGGGACCTGGTGACTATAACGGTCATACACGTTAGTTATTATCATGACTAGGCCTAACCTCCCTCAGAAATATAAACCCTATCTTCTTTCCACAAAATTACCCTATAGGAGGACACGACTTGTGCATGACTTCTGGCAAGCGTGGTGAAAACAACCTGAGGTGAACGCACTTTCGCCATGCAAAGCAACATAAAATGCATTTCGTTTTCACTTACACTGACCCGAGGTCACACTAAGTTGCGCCCATGAATAGCCACGATAGCTTAGCTCTATTCAACATGAGGTCATCTGCCTTGATGCATCAAAAAATTTAAAAAATGTAATTCCTCATTTTAGGAACAGGGTCCCCAAATACACAATCCCCCATAACACTCTAACATAAATTAACATTTGATGACAACGTATGCCGTTTATTGCCATTAGCACCCTGTTCATATAATAAGGACACAAAGTCTACATTTTCAAAACAACTTACCTAAATAATTTGGTGGCGATGTCCTTTTTCATATCAGAAAGAAATGAGGGAAGGGCTTTGGTTTTTAAGGGAATTTAACACGGCATCGTAAAATGACGCAACAAAGAGTTGTGAACAAAGACGAATCCCCGCATGAAGTCTGGTTTCTTTTATGACATTCTGAATATCCACAGTGGCTGGGTCAGGTAACCAGACATAAAACAAAATGGTCTGATGCGGTCGTCTTTTGCCAAACTCGGGTAAAAAAGATCTGGTTTTCTTGCTTAGATATTGTCAAAATTTACCAAAGCTAGAGCTACTAAGATTAAGGAATAGGAAAAAATGCGCATTCTGACTCCACCTTTCTCATCATATATCATCTCAATAAAAGTCGGTCATCAAAGAAATCCAGGAAAGACACAAATTCTGGACGGAGAAACATTTACCGATGTTGTTGGGAAATACTTAGAAAATTCTTTTCACTCCCCATAGACTTTGTACACGACTGCTGACGTGGAGTCAGGACGCAACATTTTTTTCAAGGAATATATCCTCAAGGTCTGAATGTCAGTTAGTTTGAAAAAGTGGACTTCCTTTTCCTTATTATAGGAACAGGGTGCTTATGGCAATGAACGTCCAATGTAAATAAACTTGCTAGCACAAAATTGTAGGCCACTGCCGCGCCGAACCCTAACCCAAGTCAACTGGTCAAGTGGGTTACTGTGTGAACAATTTAATATTGGCAAATGCATTCAACATAATTTTCCTCATGTAACCTGGAAATTACTACGCAGACTAAAACTTACCTACCAAATGGTTAAGGTGACTAAAATGTCTAAAAATTTGCAAATATGGCGAATAACGCCAGATATTTTGTTGCTATTGCAACGACGCTCTTTTCATACTTAATTCTTGTGCAAAAATTTAGCCTTTTATAGTGCGCCCTCTGTTGGCAAGTGTCCCTATATTTTTATTTCGGGAGCACGTGGTTCTGTTACAACAGGTATAAATGCAAAAACTGAGGGTCCAAAATAAAAAAAATCGAAAGCGCTTACTTATTTGTTTTGATAGGCCTAAGGAAGGAATACTTCTTTCTTGTTACTGTCACAGAGCATGTTTATCCCTTCGAGGGGGTGAACTACATACATAGGTCACCGCAAAGCCAAAAGGCGGAAGTCAGTCCTAGTTCTTGCCACTGAGTGTGGGCACAGGCTCACTAAGTTCATTACAAGTTCATGGCTTTCAGTTCACCCAAATCGAGCACCGACCTGGACCGGATTGGGAGCTACAAGCTCCAGGGTGGTCAGATCCGATTTGTCTGTCTCACTGTAGGCGGTGACACGCTTTGTTTGCCATTGCTTTGCAGTTAAAGTGAAAGTTCATCTCCTTTTAATTTATAATCTCTTTATTTCGAGAGAAGTAATTACACAGAGACAAATGTCATAGGCCATACGAGGTCGCAGTCAGTGCCAAGAAAGAATTGACCTTCCAATGTAAAGTTTGGCTTCCCCCCCCCAACGTAGGGACGGTCCCTATTCCCATATGTGCTGTCTCATCTCTGTGGCGCAATCGGTTAGCGCGATTGGCTATTAACCGAAAGGTTGGTGATTCAAGCCCACACAGGGACGTGTATTCTGTCTTTTTTTGGGGGGGGGGTATTTGGTTTTTCTTGCTAGAATGAACTGCGAGTTTCACAGATGTAGTCTGAAGTCTAAAGAGGCTAACAAAACGAAGCGACAAAAACCCTTCACTGAGACCGTTGAACAACTTATATCGTCAAGAATTTTGAAATACAAAATAACATTAACATTTTCCCTTAATTTAATTTTCCTCTTACGGATATTATTTATCTGTAGAATGTTGGTCGGTCTTTGTGTAACAGTTTGTTTAGAAACATCTCAGCTAAGAGCGGGAAAATCAATAACTTTTGGACTTTGGGCTCAGAGCAATAACAACGTCTCTGTGGCGCAATTGGTTAGCGCGTTCGGCTGTTAACCGAAAGGTTGGTGGTTCGAGCCCACCCAGGGACGTGTGTTCTGTTACTTTTGTTGGATGGGGACAAATTTTATTTATTTATTTTTTTCTGGCAAGGATGTATTGCTAGTTTCATAGAAGACGTTGTCTGAAGTCTAAAGAGGTTAACAAAACAACAGCAATTTGTAGAATATAGTTTGTTCATTACGCAACGGTTTATTTAAAAACACTCATTCTAAAATCTGCTCATTCAAGAGATTCAATTGTTTTCGTAGATGATTCTTAATACATGCACCTATATTTGGTGGACAACATCTGTTGCATAACATTTCATATGAAGCCTTCGAAACTAACCCTAGATAAAGGTCAGACTGTTGAAAACTGAAGGATGTAAGTTTCACTTCTGCAAGGTTGATTTTAAACTAACTGGACGACGCGACGGACTGACTTGGACGCTACTGCATGACATAATGCCTACCAATCACTTCTACAAGGGGGCCAAGGACCCTATACTTTTGTCGTAGGCTTCTCAAAATGAGTAAAGAATCCTGAAATGCCTACTTCTGAACCTTTACTCTGTGATCCAAACTGTCTTTCAAGGTTTTTATATAGGCCCTACCAGTAAAACAATTCTGAAATATAGGACCATGCTTGGCCTGCCTCGTGTGTATATCTGAACGCCAATGACATCCACAAAAATTTTAGCATCTGTCGATTCCAAGGCCCTAATCCGGTTTGGTTTCCGGAATAGCGATTCAGGGACATCGAAAATGAACAATCCTTTAAATCGACATGTTTGCAAGTTAATCTTTAGGGCAAAGCTTTCAAAAGTTAAAGTATGGGAAACAGATTATTGACGAAGAGATGCGTTCTTCAATCGAAGAGTATTCAAATAACATCAGCAAGTTCCTGAAGCGACTTGCATGGTATAGGCTACAATGCTGACCCTCTTCCGGTGACCAAACCCTGAAGTGAAAGGACACATGACTGCCTCGCAGAGCTCAACTTCCTGGATCGATCTACCACTCAATTATACTTGCAGAAACAAAGAAAGCCCAGTACGAAAATCTCATTGTCTTTTGTTCCAGACCCGGCCGCAAATGCTGTAACAATGACCCGTGTACCGTAACCGATTTTGGTGGTGTCAAGAGGAAGTGAGCAAAGATAAAAGGCATTTTACATGAGTTGGGAAATCTGCATATTCAACAACACTGACGTCGTAACCGCCCACTTGTTATTGGTAGGTGCCATTTCCTATCGCACTTGTTGGTTTAACTGACATTCTTGAGGAAATATCAACAACGATCAAGATTGCAGCAAATCATTAGCTGTTATACCAAAAACATACCATGGCATATCGCAACCTGTTGCTATGCAGTTCGTCACTTTGCCGGCTTTATTGACGTGGATGTCAGCATTACATCGTCTTGATACACGTGAACACAGAGTGACAATATGATGGATGGATTTACAACTAATTTGCAGGAGAATCCAACGTAACGCATTCCATCTTGTCAGACCTACGAAGGGTTGTCTACTTCTATTCACAACCTGTAACTGAACCAAAATATTCCAGAAACGTTTCTAATTTCAAGCTTCTCCTGCACTTGAAAAAAAATCGTTTGTCGAAGAATTATACTTACAAAATGGAAACTCAACCTCTGGCAAGGAGTGCTACCGGTACCTTTCTTTTGCTGGTGCTTTTTGCGAGCGAAGCAACAGCGATCGTCTTCACCCAGCATCCAACAGATGTGACCGTCACAGAGGGTGACGATGCCACGTTCAGATGCGGCACGGACCTGCCTTGTTTGTTCTTTTACTGGGGTCGCTACCAGGCTCCTGATGGAGATTTTTCATACGTCTCTAAATGCATGTCAAGCTACGAACCTCAGTACAGCATCCAGAAGGCAGATAATGTGTATTCGCTGCAGGTGAGAGACGTTAGCTTGGAGGACAGTGGGACAGTGTACGAATGCTGGCAGTACAACCAAGCGGGAGGAGGCTGGCTGAAATCCACCAATGCTACGCTGACGGTCCTTCCATTAACCACGGTCTCGTCGGGATGGGAACCACCTGTTTGCAGCATGGATCCACCAGGGCCTCATAGAGTAGGAGACACGGTGTCCTTACAATGTTCATACCCGGCTTCGCACGGACAGGGGCTAGTGTGGACAGCTGCTAGGAACTGGAGCGAGTTCGACAAAGCAGCTGCGAAGAAACCAAGCGAGACAAACAGACTCCAATGGACCCTGTCGGAGAGAGATAACTTCGCAGAATTCACCTGTCAACCTGAAAGTAGGTCTGCGCATTCACCAAGAGGCCGGGGCAATTGTACCGTGATCCCGCTGGCCATACCAACAAACGTCACCATCTCTCCGGCCGGATCACAGGTAGTGGCAGAGGGTGACGAGGTTTTGTTTCGGTGCAGTGCCGAAGCTGTTCCCGAAGTAACATCTTATACTTGGCTCATAACTAAAGATGGGACAACAGCAGAACCTAATCAACGATTCATCATCAGCAGTGATGACTCAGGGATGACTTTCCGCATCCTTGGAGCGTCACGAGAAGATGATGGTATCGAAATGGTATGTGAGGCATCCAACGAGATAAACATCACCGGATACAGCCCACCATTTATACTAACTGTAAGGCCAGCTCCCACGGGTGAAGCGATCTCCAGCACCTTCCAGTCGGCCCTGAACATGTCTAAGAAAGGTGAGAAATCTGCCAAGGAACCAGATGACCTGTCAAATTGGTCTCACATGGCTCTTGTCATCGGCATAATGCTGTGTGTCGTAGTCCTCTTCGTAGCTGTTGGCATGGGGGTCTTGTACGTTGGCTGGCGACGGCGTATGAACGAGACCGCTAAAGACGCGACCTCATCAGCGACAAGTCCTCCACTAGAGAGAGGAAGGACTTTCTCCCTACACGACCCAGAGGCCGACATCATGCTGGGCGATGGGTGCGTGCGCGCTTGTGCGGTCATCGCTGACGGGTCGCCCCTGGCATCTCCCCGCGGCAGTGCGCTAGAAAACCCGTACACTGAGAACGTGTACATGGAAATTTTGGGCGGACAACCCCACCCATGCGCACCGGCCCCTGCCCATCAAAGAGCCGTTGAGAACGAACCCACTTATGAGAGGCATTTTTAAAACGCAAGTTTCAATCTTGAACCTCAGACAACGAGAATGAACAAAACTTCCAGATTTTAGCAAATTACGGTGAATGGTGAAGAATGGGCCAGCTATTTTCAAGGTGCACAATGAAAGAACAATCGTCCATTGTTCTCATTTCCTAATGTCCTCGCAGTGTAAAGAATTTCTCTGTAGACATTTGGAAAGTTAACAATAATATTTTGATATTTATTAAAAAAATTACAAAACATGTTGTTCATTGACACGACTTATTTTCTGCAGAAATTTGTATAAATATTTCTTTTACTTAATATGCCCCGTTAATCAGTGTGTTTAAAAATTGACACCTAAACAATGATTGAAATTCAATGACAGTCCGAGAAACCACTAATGACATGTATTTCAAACCTTAACACCTGTTGCTGTAGCCGCTTGATTTCCCGTGCTTTATTGACATGGAGTCTCGTTATTCCGACATAACAGGAAAACTGTTGTATATTGTGTTTGTCAGTCGTTCCTGCAACTTTAATTACCGTGTTTATCTGGTCTCTGCAACTTCCTCACGAGAGATGACATAATATTCCACCTGTTTATTTTGCATGGGGAATTGGGTATTTGTGTTACTCGAAACCACACAATAATTGATCTCAAAACAAATAACACTGATATCGCTTAAATCGTCTTTAATTCTCAAAACTGCTGAGCATTTTAAGTAGTTAAAAACTCTAGAAAAAAGTAAAACAATTCCGATTCCAATTAGCTTTTAAATGGACTATTGAGGTAAAACACTATTCTTATTTATAGTAGCGAATCTCCCATTTACTGATGCCTGTTTTGACAAATTTTCAAACTAGGTTTTCAAACACAATTTTATTTCAAACTTGTTAATTTCCCCCAAATTATCCATAACTGTCCTTGTTGTTACTATTAGTACTGTATATGAGAAACAAGGTAAGAGATTTTATCATTCAGAAACAATTTAAGAATCTAAACATTCATTTCAAGTTACAACAAACCTTTGCAATATCACTATTGATATGACCCATATGTAATCTTGATTTCATTTCATTGCAATTTATGATTTCTTGTTTACCCTTGTGGAATTAAATAATTTGATTACTGGACAGTAATACACTGTTTTCCATTTCTGTCCTTTAGATAACTGTAAAACGACTAAGTTTCTTCCTTAATCATCTTCAATGTTAGGATTTTTAAAATATTTAGCAAATAATGTTATCATTCCTGACATGGTTTTGAAGAGTACTAAAGGGCTGAATATAAGAAACAGTTAATTTCACTGAATAAAATTGGTTTATCCAAACACACAATGAACGGTGGTGTGTGAAAAGTTCAACAGCGACGGGGCACTAGTTTGCTGCTTTTTTTCACACTAATTTGAGTGATGACAGAATTTATACAAACATCTAGTAATCAAAAATGAAAATTCTTAACTAACCCTCTCCAGCAGTTAATACTATTAAAATTCTGCATCTTTAGCACCTTTAAGCTGTTAAATTACACTAACGGAGAACAAATTATGCCTGTCACGAAATACTGAATAAATAACATCTGAGCTCACTGTCAAAAGCTATCCAGGTCAGCCAGAGAGATCAGGCAGACACCATCACACAGTCCTTGTTTAGTGTTAACGGCTTACATCAAGGTAGGTCAAATTTCATTTTTTAAAAAAGTAATCTGCACAGTATTATATTGCAGCTTTTGCAAGTTGAAAACTAGTTGTTTGCAAAAATTCTAAAATGTCAGTCAGGCTAAGTAATAACGTAAGTTAAAATATGTGATTTACTTTTTGGAACTCTTCAGCAATATCAACGGCAGTCTTGAATAGACCAATATCGTCCAGGTTTACAATTATTGCAACCGCAATTCCTTTTGGTAAAGACAAATCTCGGGATGACGCAATGTCATGTTTCATGGAATTGTCATTTTGAGTTGGGCTATTGCCAAGACTGCTCCGTTTCAGGATGTCATCTTGGATGCTATTATTCTTCACTGGTTGACCTTTGCTGACTATTTCTGGTCGGCTGCAGTCCACTATAAGAAGCACACTGCTGGCCCCTATCGCTCCTCCCGTGTGCGACACCATTTGGTGTTTCTCAGGGCACAATCCTCGCTGCTGCTTCCCTCTTTCGCGAACGGCCCATCCCATAGTGTAGACACCCTCGGCATCCCAGGAACATTTGGTGAGGGGGACAGGGGACCAGATTGTTTTCATGGTCTCTGGTTGGAGGTAGCCTTGGGGTAGGCCGGCATCTGAGAAAAATCAGTGGCAGGAAATGATGAGACAATTTGGTATATCAAACACTCAAGGCCACTTGAGCACAAAGCATGTGTACTAGTCGGAGTATGGTGCTGAAAGGGTAGACCTTGCCAAAATATCTCTCTCTGAATGACCTCAGATGCTCTTAATTTAGATATGCACTGTTGGAATGTCAAATTGGTTCAGTATGACACTTGAAATTAATGAGCTGGCAACTTTTGAAGAAACTGCATCAGAAAATAGTTTTTGATATAATTCAGGCAGCAGTTTCATCATTTAACCTTAAGTACTAGGCATGCTGGTCAATCCAACAAAATCAAACAAGTCTCCCAATGTTTCTCATTGTTAATTCAGGAAATCTACCAAAAATAGAGCTAAAGCCAACACACTCCTTTAACATACAGATCTAAGTGACATTATGCATGCTTTACTGGTAAAAAAAAATGAAAAGCAGATATAAAACGGTAAATAGTTTGATCCAAAAGATTCTCCTACCTCTGTGTTCGTCAGTATACTGATAGCTATATAACATAGCATTTCCAAACTGAATAAGGTCCTTGACATCAGATAGAAAGCCACCTCCAGCCCACTTGTGAGAAAGATTGACGGCCGGCACGTTGATCAGTTTGCCCTTCTTGTTCTTGGTGTAACCTCGAGCTCGGTTGTAAATCAACTTGCTGGCCTCATCGGGGACAGTGTGGGACATGCCTAGATCCTTGAAGATCTTCTTCATGTAGACTAAGAAGTCTTCGTCGGCTGCTGCATCCACGATGGCACTCACAAGTGTCCAACCATGAGTTGTGTACAAGAACTTGCTACCTTTTTAAATTTCAATTTAAAAACTCTCTGAAGTGCAAGATAAGAACCGATCAAGGCTATTTGGCACTCGTATCTTGAAACTGATGATAAATTTGAACTGACTGAATTTCAAATCCGACACGCAAAACCTGAAAATTTGACCTTAAGGGTGGAATTAGATGAAGTTGGAAAACCTGATGGTCCAAATACCATCTACTAGATGGTGTCAAATTTCCCCTACGACTGTTGAAATTTTGATTCTTGGACCTATTCAAATATCAGTAAATGTCATCATCAAACAGACCCAACTAACCTGGTTTGTGCACCAAAGGGTCCTCTTTGAAAACATCTAAGGCATCGATGACCGAGGAGTAGTCCTTAGTGATGTAAAACTCTGTCTCCTTAGTGTCGTTTTCTCCCTTCTCTTCCGTGTTTTTGGGGGTGTCTTTGGATTTGTCACTCTTGGAGAAAATTTTGGAGTCTTTGGTAAGTTTGGAGATACCCTCTTTGTTGGACTGGTTCCCCAGCTTCTTGATGTAGTCTTTGTTATAGTGCCTGATGCCACCCAGGTGTGAAACCAACTGTCTTGTAGTGATGTCCACCTGCAGGAAAGAGAGGGCACAGACTAATGATTGTTTAACCCTATAAACATTCACGAGCAAATATTTTAGACATCTCTTTGAGTTGAAGAGAGGGTTAAATCAATATTTTAATTTAATCAACAGCAATGAAGAACATCCAAGCAGAGATGTGATTTAGAAGGCAGTTCTTGAACCTTCAACCAAGACCTTACCTTTTTTCCATCAACTTCCTTCTCGGGGAATTCTGGTACATAGTGCCGTATTGGTTGGTCTAGATCCAGTTTTCCTTCTTCCCAGAGTTTTGCTACAGCTGTCATGGTGAGAGACTTACTGATGCTAGCGATGCGATGAACGCCGTCACTTGAGCATGGAAGACGGTTCTCCACATCAGCATACCCAATTCCTGAAAATGATCAGTTGTCACTTTATTTAGAAAAAACCTGCATTTATAACCAAGTCTCAAAACTTTTTGATCTTAAATTATTCCCAATACTTGCTTTTGCTAAAGGTAATATTGTTAATGAGGGAGGTCTATTCTGCCTGTAATCCATTCGTGACTTCATCTTTGCTTCCAGGTTATAGCTTCATGGCCCAAGTCCCTGATTTGAAACTCCAAAACTTAACGAAGAGCATTTCCTGCATTCAAGTGTCTAACATGGTAACGAGGTTTGGACGGGTTTCATTTGGTTAGAATCACAAACACTACTTGTGGATCTTAAGACGAAGCTGTTGACACAGATAAAACCTAGATTTGGAGAAGGTCTCATAGCATTCAAGACTGAGCACCTCAATCCCTTCTTAGTATCTACAGCTCTTGTCCTCCAATTAACCAGCAATTTCTGTGAAGTGAGACTCTTACCCTCGGCCCACACAAGCCTCCCGTTGATGCTCACTGCTGCTACGATGCCTGGTGAACCAACCTCATCTTTGGCCCTCTGCAACAAATCTCTAGACCTTTTCATTGCTTCCTTGAGTCCGGCCTTCCCAAAGATCTCCTGCCTCCAGACAGCATCGCCAAAAGTATCCTTGTCTTTCCATTTAGCTTTCTCCTTGCATCCAGCCTCTTGAATACCTAAAGGCGATTCCTCATGAAGATGGTCATACCATAAACTGGTCACCAGTCCAACACCAAGAGCCATTCCTCCCCCAACTGTTGCTAAGATGGGCGTCCTCCATCGTTGGAATCCCGAAGACAGTCGAGCCTTACTGCTGTACGACTTTAAGCATTCCTTGATACCTGAGGTCAAGCCCCCAGATCGGGGTCCTCTGAGACACAGAATGGTAGCTTTTGTACTGAACATAATTCACCAACTTTGGTAAATTTTGTTATTCCAATTTTGAGTTTCAAAGAATAAACGGGATTCTGAAACAAATACATAGTCAAACGGTAAGTTTTTATGCACACTGGCATCATTTTCTCCAACAGTTGCACCTCAGTGCCAAATCTCAACAAGTCGTGGAATTTAACAGTGAAATTGATATGCATGTAAATGATGTATGCATGCAGCTCTTCTTGGGCCAAGTTTGACATACATGTAATGATGTAGCACATGCGAGATACAAACGATATTACACAGGCCAATACGGCCATGATAGCCAAGCTTTGGCAGAGGACTACCTTCAGAACCGTGGCGTTCGTCGCCCACAGTGGATGGGGTGCATGGATGACGAACCCCACAGTTCGGGGGGGGGGGAGACATCCTCAACCATGTCAACTGACATCCTGTGCGTTATCATGTATGTAGCCAATAACCCTCAGAAACCTAATGTATGGCCTCTGTCTTCACTCATAACGTTATGCTCGTTCCAGTTCAACTGCATGCTGTAGACATGATGGTGGAATGTTGTCAGGTTGTGTCGAACACGCATGTCATTGTCAGTTACCATGCATAATCGATAAGTTTTTACTAATTTGAGTGTTTCACAAAAAAAATAAAATAACTTTTTAATGAGTAAACCTACTACTACTAGTAGTACTAACTTACGTCCACACTGCAACAGCCCTACTCTATGCAGCCTTTGTACCCGGTACCCACAGACTGGCTTACCCTTCTTTTTTCCTCTGCTGGTAGGCACATGTTAAACTTAAGTCAGCGGTGCCACACATGCATGATTTGCAGCATAATACTTAATAGTAATGCAGTCACTAATCTAGTGCGTACTTAACACTGCGGTCAAAGGTCACTGAATCCAGTCTGGTAACCATTTCCGAATAGGACAAGTGTGTACCAGGGTTGCAGAATCAAATGGTGCACGATACGCGGCAGCAGACTATGCCAGGTAAGAACTGTGCATGTGTGCGAGTTACGTGTATTCTGTGATGTAATATGCGGATGCCGGATTTCTCTTGCGAACGTTCTTAAACTCCTATCCTGAGCCTCCGTAGCCGATGATTCGCAATTTACTCGGACAAATAAACCGACTGTCTTCAACAATGTCAGCGTTACCTTATTTCGCCCAGGGTGAAGTTGTGAAAGGATTTGGTAGAGGAAGCAAAGAATTGGGAATTCCAACTGGTAAGCCCTACCACGTTGAGTTCATTAACTTTCAGTCACGTTTGTAAACATGTTTAGGCTACCATCATACCATCATCTGACCATGTTAATTGTTATTCATATTTTAGCTTAAACTTAGCGATTCTTGTAAATGATAAATTATTAATTATTTTTGTGTTTGGTTTATTTTTATTACTGCATTTTTGATTCTATCTTAATTTCATACGTGTCATTTAGGCCTAGGCTAATATTATATTCAGTGTTTTTAATAAGTATGAAAAGATTTTATTTTTTGTCATGAATCTTCTATGCCTGTTCTCTTTTTCCCTCACGAAAATTTTTAACAACTAAAATACTTAAATTATGGGGCAAAAAATTAATAAATCCAAAACCTGAAAAAGAGGCTAACGAGGAATAAAGAAGTTAGGAAGGGTCAGGAAAGTTTTTTATTTTTGTACTAAGATTAAACTGTATTTTTGTGGTTCTTGTTGTGAGTTAAATTTGCCATGTTAAACATAAAAAAATATTTGTTCCTTAGTTGCATTTTTAGCTAATGTTTACCCTTAGACTAGGGTCAGTCTTAGGGATACAGAGGTAGTCTAGCTTCTAGAAGTAGACTAGCTGTAGTCTGGGACTAGTCTTTTCATGCCCTAATTCCTCATACCAAGCAAATTTTGTGGACTGTTTTTGTAATTTGATAATTTTAGACATCCCATGGAGTGTGTTTCATTCCTCCATGGATATCCAATTGTTTCATTTTTATAATTGTCACATGTATATCCTACACTCTTTTTCTTTTTAAACTGTGGATTAAATAAATCCATAGAGAAAAATTAGGCCTCTCAAGCAAATTATAAAATATGCTCTACTCAAAAGTTGTAGTTATTCAAATATTCCAACAGATTTCGCTACTTGTAGTTACAAATGTCCAACCTTAGAAAATGAGTACGTGTATGGTCCAACATACATACATTTACAAGTCCAGAGGTCACGTTGATGATGTCAGTTGCCCTTTGTGGTCAGCCTTGGGTTTGAAGGAACATGGCAAACAAGTAGCCCACGGTGTGACCTCTTGGCCTCTGTAGCTTTTTGGTTTTCCATGGGCAGTGAGCAAGCAACAGAGCCAATGGTACCCTGTTTCCTCATGGTTGGGTGGTTCCACCATGAAGCAATACAGAACTTATTACAATTACATGCTTAGTCTCTGAATACTGTAAATAGACCTTTTTGTAGCTAGAAATCTTATTCAGTTTCTGCGTCTCTAGAATAGAATAGATCTGTCCCAGTATTTCACCTCTGCTTTCTGTTCTATAAATAACCAACCTAAGCCAGACTGAGTTGAAATTGACCATTCTTCACCAATCATAATTTGTCAACAACCTTTTAAAGACTTAGGCCCGGGACTTTGGTGCCTTGTGTAAATGTTGTTCTCCAACAAGTCTGTACACATGTACATGTACATGTCAAGTACATGTACAAATAAATGAAGTGGACTTTAAAACGTATTAGATGGAAAACTCAGATAAAAAGAGATATATTTAGTACAGCATCACTTTCGTGAGATGGTACATGGAAGTATTTAAATACAAAGATACTCACTGAAGCATAGGGAACCAGCTTAAAGTTAAAGCTTAAAGTTCGGAAGCTGCCAACTCAATGCAAATTTTAATTTTTGTGTATACATGTAATCAGTCCCTAATTCATGGCAATGATCACAATACATGTACATGTACCATAGGGTCAAGTGTGCTGTGTACCAGAGAATTGAACTCAGTGGGATATGGGCGTTGTCCAAGCGGCCTTGTTGGTGCTTGTGATTTTACACCTACACCTGTAGTTTGCCAGTGCCATGTTGCCCTTGCCGCTCTACTTGCAGGGCAGAGTAGTGAAAGGTTTTAGACGAGGGAGCAAGGAGGTGGGATTTCCAACTGGTAGGTTGCTGAAGTTGTGTCCGGGACAAGTCACCGCAACTTTGCTTTCGCTTGCAGCAGCTTACCTTGGTATTCTGGTGTTTGTGTCTTCCAAGGATTCTTTTCATCATTGTTCATATGGACTAAGCCTTCAGCATTCAAAGCATTCGTCGTTATTGCTTACTACAGGATTCTCGTGCTTAACCCTCAGTTTTGGAGATGTGGTGTGTTCGTACACGTACATATTCAGTTGAATATGGGAAGTGTAGGCTCTGTGCCATTTACATGCACAAAGATAGATGGTGAATATGATGTGACCTTCAGTATTATGTTTTATGGACTCGCTGGTTGTAAATTAAGCCCCCTTTAATTATTCCGAATTTAGTGTAATAAAAACTGATATATTGTGGTAGAAATCAGTAGGCATTGTTTCACTCAGAGTGTATGCATAGCCTTACTGGTAAAATGTGAACCAATTCATTAAAGCCAATTGTTTGTTTGTTTGTTTTGCCAACAGCCAATTATCCTGATGATGTTGTAAAGCATCTACCCTCAGAGTTGACCACTGGTGTGTACTGTGGCTGGGCTTCTGTAGACCACGGTGATGTTCATAAGATGGTACTAAGTCTAGGCTGGAACCCGTACTACCAAAACACCAAGAAATCAATGGTAGGTACCCTATATAAACAGAAATTAAAACCACCTGCGAGTATCAAGTTGACTCTCAAGGGATTTTTAGCCATGTGTTGAAACAAAAGTTCAATATGAATCTGGGATTTATCCAGGCACGTAGACCTGCTTTAGAATTATGTTTCCTTTAGCTGCATGTACATATACTTTATTTGCCACTTGAAACAAATTGTCAAAGAGTAAACAAAAAAAATTGGTGCTGTAAAAGGGCAGGAGCTTCATGCTTGAAGAGGCAAGGCAATTTCTTATTTGTAAAGAACACTTGAATTAGAAAATCAACTTGTTTATGGGGACATTTCAATGGGCATTGAGGCACAGACCAGGGGCATCAAGGCAGTTGCCTCCAAGGTCATTGTGAAGTTCTTGCCCTGTATAAAATATTGACAAAGGGCAAACAAATAGATTTATATGGTCCAATTTTTGAGGTGCAAACACCAAAATTAAAAATGTTTTTAAATCAAATATGTAGCTCTCTTTTAGTGGTTAATAAAACATAATTGTAGTTGTTGCATGTACTCTGTTCTATGATGGATGCAGTGCTGTTTAAAATTGCAGGAATTTCTCATTATTTGTTGAACACTTTGGTAGAATCATACCATCATACATGTACTTTTGATTTGTTTTCCATTTGTAGGAGACCCATATTATGCATCAGTTCAAGGACGATTTCTACGGCTCTAACCTCAGTATTGTCATATTAGCATTTATACGACCGGAGAAAAGCTTTACTTCATTAGGTGAGTATTGTAATTTTTGTGGCATTTAATCAAATTAGCCTATATATTAAGTGGTTGAAACCCAGAAAAAGAGAGTACCAAGATTTTTTGTGTCTGCACGTAAGAAAATTCTATTCTACCGAGCCAACCAACAGATTCCACAATCAGAGTGTTTGTTCATAGCCACAAATGGCATACATGTACTTGCTGTAATGGTACAATATTCTTTCTGTATTACTGAGACAATTTAAACAACCTAACTTCCTCCATGTACTCAGTTTCTCGTTTATTGTCATACACTCAGATGAGTTAATAAGAGCTATTAAGACTGACATCGCCGAGGCAGACATGCTCTTGGACCGGCCTGAGAATAAGATCTTCCAACAGGATAACTTCTTCAATGTGGACTCCAGGTTATGATGATGTAGCTTATTTAAAGTTTTATTAGGTAGTCCGTTTAATAGAAATATCTCAAGGTATTCTTAGGTAAATGCTGGCCAAGGAATTCTAACTCAGGATCGGGTCTTTAGCCCAACTCTTGATCAATGTGCTCTAACTTTGGTCGTCATGAAGTTAGCTGGTGGAGTCGTATTTGTTGTCAGTTGTCACATCAGCTGAAAGGTCCCTAGTTTGTGGTGTTGTTACTACAAGAGAAGAAAATTCTTTGGATATTTCACAGGTCAGCAGGAAGTTAGGTTTTCAGACATGATCATGCATCCTTTATCTCAGCTTGTAACATTTGCCCAGAATGTCTTGACCAGTGTTGTTAGCACTGTATGGTGTTCTGTAACCTGTGTCCATTACATAGCAGCATTATGATATGGAACCTTGGCGGTGTTGCACCGTTGATGACTGATACCATGCTATGCATTATTTATTGCCATTCCATTATGATGACAACTTAACAAGTATTAGAGCTAATGGTCACAGCGTTTTATTGGTTCACACTTTAAACCGATATTGGATTTCGGTCATGAATTTCACACGATAGTATGTAAACTATGGAGTTCAACCTTCGTGGAAGGTTCAGGATGGTGTTGATGAAATGTGTTATGAAATAATCATTTTTCTTAACTTTTTAAATTCATCTTAATTTTTCTGAAAGATAAGGACTTACAGTTTTTATGTATCCATCATAGCATTTATAAGATCGAAATATATTGGAGGATGAAGTTGATTTAGTAAAAACGAGTTGCTGTATTTTTTTGTTCATTTTCTTGGCAATGTGTTAACTCATACTAATTTGGAATT